CTAGCACATTCAGCTCTTCTCTGGCTGCCCCAGCTGGGGGAGAATCTGGAGACAGAATGCAAGTAGAGATATGTGGGGATGTCCTTGGGATGTCGTCCTCATGGGGCAAAATGAGTGGGTGATTTGCCCCAGGACCTCTGTGTATCTCTTTGAAATTTTATTTCTGAATTGAAATTAAGAAAGTAGTGTTTTAAAATTAAAATCTATACACCATGTATTTAAGCACCACTACCAAGTTTTATTTACATATACTTTTATTTACATGTTTGTTTATTTCTTGGAATTCAGAAGATGTATTTCCAGTGCGACAGAGTAGCCAACTTGAGATCACTGAACAATAGGATACCAAGGTTGGATGCTTCCTCCAACATGCTAGCTTTTCATTTGTGAGGAATTATTCTTTGGGCAAGATGGAGTATATTTGCTGGGAAAGACAAACAGGGAGCAGTTGATTTTTCCTATTTAAATTTGTCCTACAGAGACAATATTTGGCATAATTAAGGAAAGAAGCTTTTTCCCCACACTGTCAGATTGAGTGGTTCAAGGAACTTCCATATGGCCAGTACAGGCTGGTTTTCAGCATGCTTGGTCAACTTTAGAGAGCAAGGTTTCTGTCTTGTGAGGAGGCTGCAGCTTGCAGAAGCAATTGCTAAAATTTGACTCCGGACTGTGTCACAATTCCAAAGGAGGAGAGATCATTTGGGAGAAGGAAAAACTAGTGGCTTGAGAAATTAAACATGTGATCAGTGCTTAATTGAAAAAAAAAGTTTGCAAAAATATTTGTCCAGGTGCTGCACAACTATATGTGATCCTGAAGGCTGCTTAATTCATTACATAATTTCTGGAAATGAAATATTTCCAAACTAAGCACAATGTACATCTAGATTATGTGTCTAGATTATGTGTGATGCAAACAGGGCCTGGACAGCATTGTTGTCAAGACCGTGTTCGCATCACACACTTAATTGGATAATAAGGGATAGAAATATCTTCAATGAACATCTAGCCCAGAGATAATAATTTTAGTTGCAAATTGTCCTCAATGGCTTGCAAAGCATTTCTAGGAATTCCCTCTCTATTTGCATATATAAATCCCTCATAATGACACGAGCAGCTATGAAAAACAGCAAAATGGGGAGGATATGGGTAAATGCTCTATAAACCCATCAGCAGTTGCATTAATCCCAATTGACCCTTATATTTTAAAACTGTTAGATTGGGATAAATGTAATTGACAGCTCCTATGAGTGCTGGGGGGGGGGGATTTAGAAAATGGCTCTTCCCTGGCCAAGTTAATCAGAGAAAACTGGATCAGTTGGACTGTGTGAAAAAGCCACTGTATACATTTGAATCAATAGCATCATTGGAGAACAAAGAGGGTGGAGCAGAGGTGGTATTGAGCAGGTACGGACCAGTTCTGGAGAACCTGTAGCGGAAATTTTGAGTAGTTTGGAGAACCAGTAAATACCACCTCTGACTGGCTCCGCCCCCATCTATTCTCTGCCTCCCGAATCCCAGCTGATCGGGAGGAAATGGGAATTTTGCAGTAACCTTCCCCTACCCTGCCCACCAAGCCAAG